ACCTGCCTGCAATCCTTCTTGTCGCGGTGACCGCATCATGGTAGGTCGCTTCACTCATGCGGACTGTATAGTGATAATCGGCTCTTATTAAAGATACATTTGTTAGGAAGGAATAAAAACTAAATTTCAGCATTAAAAATCAAAGTTAATGCTATCCGAGGACATTTGGCTGGTGTTCTGGGGAATGATCAACGATCATTTATACTTTTGAAAGACACTTCATTGCGCATGTATGTACTTCGGCAGTTGTTTCGTAGGAGATATTCTAATCTGTTCATCTCGACAAGGGCGTATATTGTACACACAGAGTATATTTCGCTGACGTCTTGAACCGTTACTTGTACAGTTGAGCATTGCAACACTGCCTGAACCAGAGATATTCATCATGCCAAGCAAGCTGTATATGCAAGTGATCAAAATGATGCGACAGAGTGGGTGGGAGGCTCTTTCTTTTTTTTTTGTTGCCGGCAGTCTTTGTCTTTGGAATTTTTCATTGGTTAAACATGCTGTGTAATGTCAGAAAAGCTCGAAGACAGCTATTGAAACACCTATGTTATGCATAAGCAAGTAAAACAATGGCATTGCAACAAGCGCCCTCTGTGAGAACCGAGACATCAAGCAACATATATCTTCTGATAAAGTAATTGTAGACATCCGACTGCTTGCATCAAAATAAAGTAGTATGCGGATCATATTCGCACTCATACGGCAGTTTTCACTTATTTTTGTTGACCACTTTGCTCATTATCAACGTCACATCTCCTCTTATTATTAATTTCTTTGTCAATCTCATTATTCGTGTTTTTTCTAGCTCTTTAGTGCTGCTAAACGTGTCTCGATTTTACAAAGTGGTCAACCCTGCGCAATACATAGAAATAGTCATGGTCCGGTTCTGAAGCTGAATGTGAAGTCTACGCGACCGGTGAAATCAAATTAGTGCCATTAACTATTCTCTAAGGCACCATATACACATGTGAACAATTACGTTGAGGCCGTATTCCTTCAAATGTCGGTCGTACCCCAATGTTCAAAGGTCTCGTCATACTACACACAGCTTCTTCTCATTATTATTATTTGCTTCTTCTTTTTACCTCTTTTTTCGTTCACGACTTCACGCAACGCGGTACCTTTCCCACGCTACGTCGGGTTCAATTCGTGCCGACACGAGCGCTAAATCGAGAAGAAGAAAAAAGAAAAAAAAACAGAGCAAGGCGAGGAAAAAATAAAAGAGAAAATGAAAATGCACGAAATTCGACGATTCGGTAGTCGCGAACACACCGTAATAGTCATACGTATTGTGGCATCACCGCACGTGTAGACGAGAAGGCGATGCTATAAACTCCCGTGGCTATCTGAGCGTTCTCGAAACATTGTCGACTGCGAGCGCGCAGCATCGCACGCCACTCGACGGCTGATACAGCATCCACGACGGAGGGGCGCCTCCTTCCGTGTGCTGTGTGCGTGACCGCGCTCTTAGTGGCATAAAGTCGATCCCAAAGCGGATAGTGGCGGGCCCAATATGGCATATGATCGGCTCGCATAGACCGATCCCTCACGACTCTCGCATCTATGCACACCCCCCCCACCCCTCGTCCATCTTGCGCGGAGCTCTACATTTTCTTGCTCTTCTTGGCTCGTCGGTGCCCCCTGTCCTATACCCGCGCGCACGTTTTTCTTTCGGTAGCCGAATTTTATTCCGCACGACCTCGGGGGCCGTGTCGGTTGTGTACGAACGCGCCGGGCATGCTGCTAGACGCCCGCGCTTAATACGCCCCGACGGGCCGTTCTTTCTCTTTTCGTTTGTCGTTACATGCTCGCATCTTTTCACATCTCGACTCCGTCCCGATCGAGGTTCTTGCCGCAGCTTCCGCGGTTTCTTACCGCGACGACGGCAAAGTGCGAACGGAGCGATGGAAATATACGGGGACGAAGAGAAGCAACATTCGTGCTCAAAGCAAAACGATGACGTCGTCAACACACGAACTGTATAGTGACGCCAAAGCGTGCGTGCACTTCGTGAGCGGCATCTTTCTTGCATGGGATGTGTGCGGCTCCAAAGGCGACGACCCGATATTACAATGGTCGCGCGCGCGCTGGCCGATTGCCTCACTATCTGATGTGGCGAGACGGCGTGAATCATGCGTCCAGCCGAGTGGGTTATTTACACGGTGCGATGATTTAAATTGCGGTCGCGGTTTCCTTCACAAAGGGCGTTGCACGCAGGGTTTGCCACAACGCTTGTGCAGTGTTACCTGAGTGCGAGTAATAGTCACGTGAGGCACCGTCGTCCTGCGAAGATGAACATGGCTGGTGCAACGAGATTCGAGCGCTTTCCTTGGTCGCTAAGCTGGCCTAAAAGGGAAAGCCAGCTGGCCGATGTATACGTCACCCGCGAAGAATCTGCGGCTCATTTGCCCATTGTTCTCTAGGAACCACTGCTTGCCATAGGCAACTCACGGCGAAAGGAGACACCTCCTCAATCGAGCAGTCGTATATACAAAGATTGCACTGCCCCGCGAGCAATGAAACAGTTAGTTTGTATGTTTTTTTCTTGGCAGGAATCCATCCGGAGTCTGTATAGCTGGGTGTCAGGTGCCCTACATCAATTGTTTCACTTTACAGTGCTTTCAGAAGTGGTGCAAGTACACTGATCGAACTTCCGCGAGGTTTCACGCCCCACTATACGAATCATCACGCTGCGGCATATGTTATGGTAACATGATTTGAAACGTTTGGAAACGCTCTGTCATATGATCATTCGAACCGGTAGAATTGCAGCTTCGTTAGAGCAGAGTTGAACCCCTTTACAATTAATTTAAAGAAATGTTGCTTATGCAGAGACAAGCGTATGTGTGCACATACGATGCCCATCTGAAGTGTTCGTATTGTACGAGTTAATGTGTGCCATCAAAGTGGTTTCAGAATGAAGCAGGTGCATGCGCTTGTAATATTCTCACATTTTAACGCAGTTGCAACCACCGTTCAACTATTAATACGACTCGATAATATTATGGATTATGGGGCTCAATCGCCCCTCGCGTAGCCCATGGGACACTGAAATTATATGCGACAGAGAATATCGCTCATCCCCACTAGTCATATATCAAGCTAAATACACAGGATTATTTTCTTCTTCGCCGTTTCACCAATGTTAAAAAGGCAATTTGATAGCTTCTGAAGCCTTTTTTTTTAAATAGGCATTTATGAGTGCACCAAAGTTTAACTGCCTCGAAGTGGCTTCGTAACGCAACGGCTTCATGGCGCTAATTACCTAATGGCTAAAGGCACATTCTATTCCGGATCGCAAAACTGCACTAACCTCATTCTCACAAATGACCGAACTTCCCACGGTAGTATGTGCCCCATTAGCAGCAGTGATCTAGTATGTACACTTGTTATCAGGTCACTTTAAGGAGGAGGTAATTAACGCGTACTGACGAACGCAGCTGCAGTAAGTTCAACAGGGAGCTGGCGCTCTTTGAAGCCCGCGCAAATTTGAAGCTGGAACGAAAATGTATGATCTAAACCGTTAGTCGGGTCGTTGGTCACCTAACCACGCCCAGGAACGGGTAGAGATCACAATTTATCACAGGATATAACAGGCCGGCTTCCAGAATACCAAAGCGTCTATGTACTTGTGTCGCAGTTTATTTTATTCATTGCCGCCTCGAAGCCCTGAAGGCATAACGGTCGGTCATCCAAACTTCACGTTGGGAACTGTAAGCCTGCATGCCTCCGCAATAGCGTTTCATTCTCGAACTGCAATTGCATGCGCGAAAGAACAGCTTTTAATATTGTCCCATTCGTGGGAATTTTTACGCAGCCGTTATAATCAATATCTGTTGGAATGCGTTAAAGTATTTCCGCGATGGTGCTCTCCGAAACAACTTGAATGCGTAGTATGCGTCTGTGCCATTCGTACAATGTATACCCTGCATGGAATCACGTATGCGGAGTCAAACGTGACCCCTCAGCAGTCATTGCAATGTGTTTAGAAAAAAGTGGTTAATGATTTCGAGTACAGAGTACTCGACTATGAGAGAGCCTAAAGCAGTCCCGTTTTCAGAGCCTCAAGAATCCAGCATGTCGAGTCTACTACCACGACAGTTCAACATTTGAATATTACAAATTAAGACTATAGATCTCAACTCATCAAACCACCAGGCATCACAGTTTTTACCAGCCTTTTGATACTGCAGTGCAAGTGATCTGTGACCCATATATATTAGGAAACAACTCGCCAACAACTATATATGTGCTATACTAATTAGCTTTTTATAGAACTCACAAATTGTTTGCGTAATGTAGTATCGATCCCCAAATAAAACGGTGAACGAGTTTTGTTTGATGCGTAACGTTGAATAGTATGTAATTAGATTTAGGTGTACTATAGGAAATTCATGGTGATTCAAATTAAAGAAAGCTGTGCAATACGTTGCAGTAGCCAGCATTGGTGTCGCTTTGTGGTATTGTATGCTGAATCAGTCAGTCAATAAGAGAAAAAGAAAGCTGACATGGTTACTAAGGCATTTGATCAAGACTCAATAGCGAGAGCTATTTTCTCGTTTTTTCTCCTCAGTCAAAGTACTGATCTTCCTCTCTCTCACTAGGAAATTTTTCCGTGCCTAAGGTGATGTATCATTGCCTCCAGGATCAGAGCCATTGCTAAGTTTTTTTCACTTCCCCTGGTTCTGCCCTGCCTCCGTGAATGGCGCACCTTTAAACATGCGACGATATCAGTTGATTACGTCAGATATTTCGGTGGTCTGTGGCATCGTGATGACATCGCATGGGGTCGTGTTCACTTGTTCATGATTTCTACATCACTCGTGTAAACGCCGACATCGCCGACGGTCAATGTTCGAGTCAGATGAGGCAGCTACCTAATAATTCATGTGATTGTTCAGAAAGATTATTTCTGGCACTGCAGAGAATATTCCGATGAAATGTCTGCCTTAAACTAACGTGTTCGCTCGTTTCTCTGGTGTTCTCATTCACAGATCCGGCATCGCTTCGGCTGCTACGACGAAATCCAGCTGGAAAAGTCCAGGCAGGTTCGACACTGCAACTGGGTGCGTTTCGTTCGACACTCGCCTCAGTTCAGCGCCGAGGTGAACCTGCTCGGTTCGCTCGTGAAGGGTGAGCCCGTGTACGAAACGATTCGCACGGTGGCCTCACACACGGAGCTGGTTGTCTTCTACGAAGACGCAGATGACGACGTCGATCGTACGCCCCTGACGTTGGTAGTGGCCAGGGACCTCTCGTTGGCACAGTACCGAAGCGCCATGGGCATGATCCTCGAAGGTGAGCTTGCATTTCTTATCACGCATTGTTGATTTCACCCTCTATATTGCGCATAAACCCCTGACCCGAATTTTGTTTCTCAAAATGGCGTTTTCTTGACGAGTTAAACTAAGTTAAGATGTCAATATCAGTCTGTTTGGCAAGAAAATCATGGCTTAATAAGCTGTACAAAATTCGCCTCGGTAGTCTCAGGCTCATGAGTGTTCACCGCCTGGAATCGATGACACACTGAATTATCCAAGAACTTCCTGGGGTACTCCGGCTGTTTTCCACTGTTGAGAGCAAACACTGAGTGCAGGCACTATATACGGCTTATTTATATTCTCTACTGTTCAGTTTCAAACATTTGGTGCCCGATATGTCCGCCAGCAGTACACAGGCCGCAACTGTACATATGGGGCTCTAAGTGATGTGGCAAAAACGATGATTCGCGGGATACTGACAGAGGCCTACGTCAAAAGCAAGACTCGATGTAGTATTGCGGTAACGCAGTAGTACTGATGTCCCGAGAAGGGATGTCTTTATCAATAGGTCCCAATTACAAGTCGTGCTAAAGCATTCTAACAGTGTATCACCTCTCCTTTGGAAAGAACGAGAGTGCCTGCATTGTTTCAGCCGACTTCAAGATAAAAGCTTACAGCAATGAAGAGATGGACTGCTATAGGAAGGGAGAAAGCGGAAGAGGGATAGATAAAGGAGGAAGAGGGTGGTCATCGAGCATAACGGAAGTGGAAGACGTCACACACATACGTCTCGTCTGCGCTCGACGACTCCACCCACCGCGTTTTCCACGGAGCCAAAAGGCTCTTGGCACCCGAGACGCGAGCAACCAAAAAGAGAAAGCGCCCGAAGGAGCCAGCGTTTCTGGCGACGCCACCGTCGAGCAGTGCTCCCATTGTTAGGGCTATATAGTGCTGCGGTCGGTCCTTCTTTTGACCTCATAGGCGCGCGCTCGCGCTAGAGTGATTGATCTTTCTCTTGCTTATATAGCTGCTGGCTCTCACCCTCGCCATCCGAAGCCGCCTTTCTATCAGTCTACCCGAGTGAAGAACAGCTTTGAAAAGTGGTTCACCCAATCGGCTTCCGCAGCGGAGCCGCTTGTCGATACGGCATCCTGCAATAGCCATCGCGGAAGTCCTGAGGGATCTCTGGCTTGCGTGTGTTGCGCGCCCCCGAAGAGCGCGCGGTGAACCGACCGGAGCTGTCGAGACCGTCAGTGGTCCGCTTTGAATGATGACCGTTCGTAATTATTTCGCCCGTTCATTGTATTAACAGTCAACACACACCGCGAAGACACAGGTCGGCGCGGCCTGCGTGCCGAATAAAGAGAGGTCTTTTCTTAGCCCAAGTTGCGGGCCCGCCTTCGGAGCGTGCTTTCAGGGTTGCGAAGTTGGAAATTAAGCACTGCCACGGCAAACCCACTTTCTCGTTTGCTTTTCTTGTGCGGCATGCTCGAGAGAGACTACACAAGAAATGGTGATAACCGTGGAAACGTTGGACAAATTGGGTTCTGGTTCTCAAAAACTGAGGCAAGAAATTGGGTATATATGTATATGAGGGCGTTTTTTTTTCCTGCTGAAACAATTAGAACGTTAGTTTACCGCTACCACCCGCTGGTCGGTATGCGATGGTCCGCGATGCAAGAAAGTTAGAATGATGGAAGGCACGTCCCTTAGCGTGGACACATGGTCGAGCGAACAGCCTAGTTCTCGGAACCAGTAGAATCGCCTTTTTTATTTTATTTTTGTTTATTTCATTTTATTTTTGAAGCCGAGTGATGAAGAAGAAGTGGCTTTCTGTTACGCTGAAGCATGCTACACACATGTAGCATCCACGCGTAAACTCGTGCGGCATAAGTTATATTTAAAAAGAAAGAGAAAGATTAAAAAACTCAAGACAAACTGCACAAAAACTTCAGCAATTGTTCTTTGGATTTTACTAAGAGTTTTTTTTTCTTCCATTTAAAAAATCTTCATGCTTGAACGTGGCAATTTTCGTACAGTGACAACCTCATGGCTTTTGACTCATACACTGTAAGGATACACTGTTTGCGGTCAATGTGAAGAAAATCTCTCTGTCTACGAATGGTAAAATGCTATGCAGGTTGTCACAGCTTGTCGTAGCCTCATAGTTCGCTAAAGTAACAGCGCAAGCTAGAGTGACACTGCATACTTTGCCATATAGCAAGGTTAAAATTTACCCTTGTGTAAATAAAATTTTTATATTGTGTAAATAATAATATTAATCATATTGTGGTTTTATGTCCAAAGCCACACTATGATAATGACAGTTGCCGTATATAGTATATAGTGCTCTAGGAATTTCGATCTCCTGGTGTTATTTAACGTCCGTTAACATCGCACAGTACAAGGGCTTCTAGCATTTCGCTTCCGCCATAATTAGACCACCGTGGCCAGCATCAAACCCGCTACAATCGAGTCCGCAGCGGAGCACCTTACTCGCTACACCGCTGCGGCTGACTACCCTTGTTTAATAAATCTTGCTCTTAAGCCCAAACAGTTGTACACTCAAACACATGAGAGTTTAAGCCGCATTGCTTCCCGAGAATCGGTGCGCCACCACGCTGATGTAATGTATTCTAATCAAGGTTTACGTAACATTGCAGGAGACATTCCTGGCCTAGGTCGAGCTAGTGTCAGACTACTCAACAGATGTTGAACTGTGGATTTTGATGCAAACATTTATACTGCACTATGCAGAATCCCCTAGGGCAAATGCTTGCAGTGATGACGTGGGGCCGAGCCCGCAAATGTATACCTTTATTCCGAAGTTCTTCATTTTGTTCCTCCAGGAACATTGTTATAGTATAAAGTGGCCCTACGAACTTAATGAACATTTTTTTTGTTTGCAAACAGTTCCGGTGTGAGGTCGCTCATGCATACGGACCCAGAATTTTTTTCTGCATTACACTTTTATGGCTGCACAGTCATGAAGAAACACGTACGTAGATCACGGGATCCCTTCTGGAAAGTAAATATATTCATTCTTCTGTTTCTTTCAGAATCACACAGGAGTAGCTTCAAATGTAGCCGTTCTTGGAAGTACGCCTCAGAGGCCTCACAGAAACCGTACACCCCACAGAAAAAAAAGTAAAAAGAAAAAAAAGGACCTACAGGAAAATATTTGAAAAATATCTTGTTTAGTCATCCCTTTGGTGACAACACCTTGTAGGATCGCAAATATGACTCTGGAGGTGCAACCCGATTATTGAGACAGCCCATCAAAATAAAAAAATAAACTTTGTCTTCCAAACAGACGCTCGAGATCAAATGGCACATTGAGGAATCGGCCATTGTTTTCCCCTATTCTTCTCGAATAACTTGCCAGAGGTGTTGGCAGGCTTCATTTCAACGATTACCTTCGGTGTCTTCCTCGAATAACGCTTCATGCGTCATCTTAACTCTGAGTGGTTCATTCTTCAGCAGTGAGAAGACAGTTGTTTTTGAGTTCGCTCAATATTTTTTCACCATTTGCGCTACAACATCGCCGCGCACCAGAATCACGATCTGGCCAACCAGTGAAAAAGGACCATCGTACATAGGTTTTCGTAACATCTGCTGGGTGTTCGGTATATTTATATACGCTTGAGTTATGATAATCGTGCCCTTAATTAGTAAATACGTACTTTTCTTCTCTATAACGTGTTTCTTGAGTCACGATTTTTGCGGAAAGTGAAACAGTGCAACGAAGTGCATTTTTTGATACTCGCCAAAGTTCTTTGCTATTACGTCTAGCTCCCCGCCACATACTCGGCTGCCAACCCACAGGTCACGGGATCGAATCCCATTTGCAGCGGCTGCATTTTCAATGGAGGTGAAAATGCTGCATAGGCCCGTGTGCTCGGATTTGGGGGCACGTTAAATAACCCAACGCGGTCGAAATTTCCGGAGCTCTCCACTACGTCGACTCTTATAATCATATGGTAGTTTTGGGACGTTAAACACCGCATATCAATCAAATCAATATTAGTTCTAGATGGCCTGTTAATATTCAATGCAACATAAAGGCCTTGTCGCTCAACCAATAACAAATACCATGTGCACGGTGTACACACCTCGATACGATCCTCGCGTATTCCCTGCATAATTTTCTCGTCATCTTTCCGCAATGCATGCAGTAGTGGTATGAAATGCGCATGCACAATGCAGCTAGCACTTCCTTCCAAGCACTACCTGTAGGCCTCGCCATACACGTCCTTCGAAAATTAACATACATTATTGCGTGTTTCAAGGCCTTTAATAGATTAGTTCGCCCGGCATTTATAATTGTAGGTTTGTGTTTAAGCATCTAACAACACCAGTTCGTAATATTATAGGCGACGTCTGCGAATACCAATCATCTCTTTGGCTTGAAGCACATCACCGATCTGTTGAAAGTTATTTTTATTAGCTGTGTTGAAAGGACAGTAGAAGGGAAACCCTGACGAGATGGTATAGTTACAATTTCGATGTGGTTCTTTTTTCCTTTATCCTCATATTAGTAGCACTGTTGCTTGTAAGATAAGATGCAGCCTTGCAAAACACACATTACTCTCGTGACACGGGAAACGGTACAACCACTTCATGGACATTTTTTAAGAGGCTGTAAATATCAGTGACGGCTGGTACTTATGAATTTCCAGAAAAATAAATGGCATTAGGTTCAGGCTTGTAATACAGAGGAAGTAGGAGAGACAGATAACGAGACAAATGTGAGAGGAAGGGCGACAAGTTCCACCGAAACTGCAGCCTGCAGCAATAACCGATATTGCTCAAAAAGAAGAGAAGAAAAGAAACGAGACATATCTGAAAATAACAAACGTCCACGACGCCAGTTGCAGTCAAGGTGGCAACACATAGACATACGTGTCATGTACATACGTGCGTGTATCGTACTTTTTTGTTTTCATGGAGTGCATTCTTCGGTGATAGAACGCTCGCCCTGCGCGACCTTCTATGCACGAGAAATTCATGATTCTGTTCACTCATGACTTCATAATATTTATGTATTCGCATGAAGTGAGTAGACATTACATTGAATTGACGAATGATGTATGGGTACGAAAGGCGTAAATGTAAGTACATTCATTATTCAGCATGTTGAACCTGCGAGGTAACCGAGAACCTAGTCGTATAATGTAGCCTGGGCAATGGTTTCGTGTACAAACTCTGACCTCATCTTATAAGTGCGTACTCAATCAACCGTTTCTTTCTATAATATATATGATCACGCGTGTGCTAAAACTTACACCTGTAACCTATTACATTATTTCATCAGGAGGATGCAAAAACGCAAGCATGAAAATATCGGAGTGGAAAAAAATTTTAACTTATAGTTCATGATTGACACAGCAAAAACATATCCTCTACGAAGCTGTTTAGAAATGCGAAATGTTATATTTCCTTGCTGTATGAGTAGTATAGAAGCTGAAGCAGCTCTTGCACGCGACGGCAAAACACAGTGCCCGAAAAAAAAATTTAAAAAAAAAATCCGCTTACACTTCGAACTTTTGGCGCCCTCTATCGCGTTCTGCAAAAATAGCAAGCCGTGACGGCCAACATGACATATTTAAACCCTCAGAGCGTGCAGTGTAAACAGAAGTCATCAAGGCGTGTGCTTGCTGAAGCAAACCTGTTGCAATTGGGCGCCCAATCATTCATGCGAATAGGTGGCGGGCGCCCGTTAACTTCACAAGAAGGCTTCTTGGTCCACTTAAAACGAGGACATTAGTAATGAGACACCTACCGTTTCGCACCGGAGCACGTCATCAAACATAAGAAGTAAGAAGCCAGAAAATATCACAAACGGTCAGCGAGGAAATATCGCCCTGAGCAATCACCCGCCGAGCGAAATGAAGCCAGTCAAGGAGCAAGCCCTCATTTTCGACGACGGCCCATAGCTGGCCTCAGCCCTCTTCGCTTTGTCCACTTTTCCGCCCAAATGGAAGGATAAAAGGCGAACGCAGATGCATTCGTTGCTCTCGATACCGTTAATTATAACCCGATCATCATGTTTCGGAGGCAGGCGATACCGAAAGGCGAGCTGACATGTTGATTACACTGGTGGACGTGTCAACGCCTGGAATGCATCGCGAGTCCTTGCAACCGTCAGCGGCACGTCGCGGCGGATCTTACGAAAGCGGGGTAGGGGGAAGATGAAAGAAAAAAAGAAAGAAGGAGGGTGGAATCTGGTAGATGAAAGCCCTCGCCGCTACCTGGGTCTTTCTTTTGAAAACCCAGTCAAGGCTCGCAGAAGTATCTATAGATATCTGGGCGAAGTGAGAGTTGGTCGTTCATGTATGGCTTCTGTGGACAAGACCACAGGACGGATCGTTCAGCGTCTGTACGCACTGAGAATTCGAACAAAGGATCGGATCCCTTAGTGGTCGTCCGAGCTGACTAAGCCGTGAGTTTAAAAAAAAAGTCATTAATGAAGAAGGATTAGCTTGTATGGGGAGAACTCGGTTTACGTTTCATTGTGAAGCTCCGCACGTACGGCTAAGTGTCCACCCGTATAGAGGACACGTCCATAGCCGCCTAGAAAGGAGTGAAATGAACCTGTGGGACGCTTTTTGTGTGCTGGACCGTTGTTGCAGACGAGATGAAGGGCCGCGGAAATTGGCATAATTTCAGGGAGCTGGTCGCAAGGAGGAAGCTGTGGATAGGATTGATCACCTGTCTCGTTCAAGGCGAAATACCCCTCGCATTCCGGTAGGCTTCAAGAATGGGCAGAGCTGTCAAGGTCTACAATGCTTTGACTGAGATTGTCGGCGTTTGGCGACAGGGAGCGAAATTTCGTTATCCGACAGTAATAGTCGTCTGTTGACGACAAAGCCTCGACAAAGGCCGCTAGCAGTACGCGTAGTCCGTAATAGACACTTGGGTGATTACCATGTTCGCGTTCTGAGTTTCGAGATTGACAGTATCTTATCAAGAGCCTTCGATTAAAGCTACACTGTCGGTGTGGCGCCGCAATGTATAATGCCCATGCAGAACCTATATCGTCGATGTCTTATGCCACAATCTATAAAATAAGTATTACAACTACAAGCACTTGTGAAACACCGTCTGTTCGGTGAATAAAGCATGTAGTGCTCCTGCAGAAGTGTGACTTGTCGGGATACTTGGTTGATCGACCCTGTAGTAACAAAAACTCGGCGAAGGGTGACAATATGTAATGCCCTTAAAGCATGATGATGATGATGATTATGATGATGATCATGCTCATGATGATAAGCATGATGATCAACAACATGATGATGAATATGACGACGACATTAAAACACACACTAATGTGCTTGTCTAGTTTGTTTATTCGCTGTCGTTTAGTCTCCTTCGGTGATGTTTCTGGTTTGTTTTTGTCATTTAAAAGAGACACGGACTTCTTCCGAAGTATACTGTAAAGAGATTAATACCTGTCATGGGCAGTCTTAAGCTTTAACAGAATATATTTCTGTTTTGGAATGTGCATTTCAGATACACCCCTGGACCTGTCACAGTCATTAATAGCAGCGCCAGTGTCACCCTCATCACCGGTCACTCCTCAACTACCTCGAGTCCTAATGACGCCGCCATCGGAACCTGAGGAGAGGCGGTCAGTTTCCAGTGAAGGAACCACAACGGAAGAGGTACCACGTTTTTCCAGTGAAAATGCCTTGCACCTTACTGGAGATGTGGCGCATCTTCACGCGTTAAAATACAACGGCAATAATATTGTATGCTGAGACATAGAGCCCATTTCACGCAGTTTTCGTCTTTTGATATTTCTGTCATCAAAATCTCTTAGCCTCGTTAGAAGGCACAAGTATGCCTGTAGAACGTTTGGTTAAAAAATACCAAACGATGAAACAACCATCTGTGCACCTTCCTATATTATTATTAACATGTAGAAGGGTAACGTTGTTCCTAGCTCTGTTTTATATTTTTCATTGAGTTTAAAATCATGAAACGCTTTGGCGTTCAATGTTGACTGAAAAAATTGGCTCTTTGTCTTCCTAAATAAGGTCAAGGGGATAGAAAAGAAAAGTATTTCCGAGGACTGAATTACTAAGGAAAGTTTAGGGTCTGCTATACTTGTCACCACCTAGTACTGCACCAGATAGAGAACTCAATGAAGGTCTGTCTGCAGTAATTAATATGACTGGTACATGAATATTATGAGTGAAACTAACGGTACTTTGAATAACAATTCATTCTGAGGGAAACTCGATTGCCAGTAACCACTAAATGTTTGTTTAAATAGTTCATAATGCGTGTAAAGGTCGCTGTATAACACTGGCATGCGTAAGGCTCTGCTTCGCAATTTTCGCTTAATATTGAAGACACACAAGCCTAACTTAATTATAGCAACGCGACTACTATATCGACATCAGCGACATATGTTATTCTCAAACTTTCCGCAGACGGTGCCGATGGAGACACCGAGACATTTGATGGTGAAGAAAGGTCGCGAGCGAACCTTGCTTCCCTGCGAAGTCTGTGGCAAGGCCTTCGATCGACCATCGCTCTTACGAAGGCACATGAGGACGCACACAGGTATGTGAAACCCACGGCTGTTTTTGAATTAGCCACCTGTACTCCACGCAGCCGACGCATGGGTGCCCGATAGAGATATATTTATGGACACCGTATAACGCAAAGCTGTATTAATGATCCTTCCACGGTGCTATGTTGGTGTACGCGCGTACGACTGCGTGAATATGGTCATGTGAACAGGCAAGCTAAGAGGAAATCTCCTAACCAGTTATGCAAGCACTCATGAATTCGCAAGAAATTACACAGCACATGTGAAGAGCAGGTACCTAAGTGTAAGGCCTATAGTGTATACATAATCGCGGATAGTGTCATACCTTATTTATTTCACGGTACCACATCTGCTAGCTACCTTTGTCATCGTCTTTTTCCAAACATTTTATCCCATAAACACGATAACTGAAGAAATATTGTTTTTTTTCTTTTTGGATCATGCAAAAGCTGTGAATGGTTCTTTCGCGCGATCCCTTCCAGTGGAAAGATATTTCAATCGTTATTGTTAAAAAGCGTTTAACACCTTTCGGGAAATCAACTAGACACTGTCGAAATGATATAATGACGAAAGTACATCTGAGGCAACTGATTATACACGCACTAATAAAAACACCTGTGGGATAATCCAAGCAGGAAAATGCTGTTCACACTTTTTTTTCATTATTGTTTCATAAACTGTGCATATAGAAGCTAACACTACTTGTCGTTATGAATTCATGCTTTGCGCACAATAACATAGCTAGTACAACATCTGCCTAAACACTATTACAAACAGTTATTGTTTCCATTATCAAGAGCTTTCAAGGAGAGAATACAGTAATATTTTTAAAAATGAATCAGTACAAAAAATTTGCAGTTTTCTCCACCAATTTTCACTTTAATTTTCAGTTTTCTCTGCCGAAAAAACAACTTGTCATCACTTCACTTTTACGCTGTGCAAAATATTTCACCCTCATTTTTAGTTTTAGATGTGAGTTCGCTGCCAGCCGCGTCAGATTCGTTTTAACGTCCGCGGTTCGCAGAGTACATGTACGACTACAACGAGTTCCACCTTACTTAAGCTGAATATAAACTGGCAGCGTGTGCCATGTGCGAAACGTGAGAACGCCAATATGCTAATCTAGTACGCCATGCAAATGCCTCAGCATACGAGACAGGAAGCAGGACGCAAATGAACCGGCTGTCGTGGCGACACACAAAGCATTATCGCGTCGCGCGGAACGATTCGGCTAAAAGCATTTTTACCGGTCCGCCGTGATATCACAAGGCACTCATGTGGAGGTTTCAAGACCCTGGTGCGTTTAATTTTTTTTAATATTTATATGTACGCAGAATTTGCAACTCCGCTTCTACACGGACATGTGCACGTATCAACGTCACGCAGGAAAATCTGAGAAAGCGAATAATGGCCGGTCAAGACCTGCGGGAGATGCTTATATTATTCGGTGGAGCTTACGGGGAAGTCATGCCACTTATTTTCTCGCATTCGTAACGCATTGGTTTTGTTTAGTGGGTATGACAGTACCCACCAAACATTATATATATATATATATATATATATATATATATATATATATATATATATATATATATAATATATATATAGAGAGAGAGAGAGAGAGAGAGAGAGAGAGCATCGAACGCGTTATTCGAAGGTCGTAGGTTCGATTCCTGCTCACAGCTGGTAATTTTTTCATCCACTTTTCTTTCTTCTTTCTTCTTATTTACATTCCATTGGTTCTAATAACTTCCCCTGTACATTCCTTGGCATTACTGTGGGTTATATCTCATTAATACTGTGTTAAAACACGGAAATACGAGCCCTTAGGTATACACTTCTCTCCCTTATTATATATATATATATATATATATATATATATATATATATATATATATATATATATATATATATATATATATATATATAAGTGTGTGTGTGTGTGTGTGTGTGTGTGTGTGTGTGTGTGTGTGTGTGTGTGTGTGTGTGTGTGTGTGTCGAGAGATAGAGAGAGGAAAAAGAAAGGAACAGAGTTGAAGCTAAGAGTCACTTGAGTTTCGCTCAGCAATGCATAATCCAATTTTTGTACTTCTCGTGCTTCTACCGCGATGTGATTACAACGCACGCCCTATAGGGTAATGCCGACCGATCAAGATTAACTTGATCACGTTCAATTTTGCTATTTTTTATAACACACGCATATCTAGATAGACGCGCTTTAGTTTTTTTTTTTTTAATTTCGCCCTCAGCGATCGAAATGCAACTGCCGCGGCTCGAATTCGAACTCGTGCCATCACACTTAGCGGCATAACCACAGCAGCTTCAGTGCACGACAAATATATAGTCTGACCTTTTCCAAGTGGGCTCTTGTCAATTTATTACTTGAATGAAATTTCAGGCCGTCCTCTTCAGTGAGTGAATGAGCAAGAAATTTAAAGTGCCTTCCTCTGCGTGCTCTCTTTTGATTTTTTCATGACGCAGGAGAAAAGCCGCATGTGTGCGATGTCTGCGGCAAAGGGTTCAGCACATCCAGCTCCCTCAACACGCATCGACGCATTCATTCGGGGGAGAAACCGCACCAGTGTCACGTGTGCGGAAAGAGGTTTACAGCTTCCTCCAATCTCTACTATCATCGCATGACGCATTCCAAGGTGAGTGGCAGCATATGAAAAGGCTGACACGCTTTCGTAACCACCGCGCCGTAACGCCGCTGTACTTAAGACGTGTGTTTGCATACCCTAATGTGATGCTGTATCGAGTGAAGCGTAGACACTTAACAGGAGGTTCTTATATTTCGCGTCAATTCAGAGAAAGGTGTCCGAGCAAGCAAAGACTGGCAAAAAGAAGTCATTGCGCACTGGCCAAATCCAATGCGATAAGTCACTTTAAATACTGTGACGTCATTTTGTGAATGTACTGGGCTTTCTTTATTAAATTTTTCAAGGCAAACCCAGGAGCTTTATTAGCATAAAAAAGCAATATTGTGAGTATAGAGTGATCTAGTGTTCAATATTTTATTGCAACCTTCAAGCGCCTGCATCACTCTGGTTCGTCTGACTTCTTAATGAACCTAGTCAATCTGAATTCAAGCTATGTTACAATCCATGAAGTGCTTTTCATCCTACCCCAACTCACAGAGGGGAGGTGACGCTTCTTACTTTGCAAGAGGGCAATGCAATGGATTTCGTCAGTGAGGGAAAGTTAAAGCTGGAGTGGAAGAGTCAGCGTCCGAAGCTTCCATCCTTGTACACGTAGCCGAGAGATGACGGAGACCGGAACGCATAGCTCAATGGCGGCAGGAAGTTAACAAAAAAGGAAGTCGATCTTGACGCGCCTCCATAGGTACGCAAAATGTAAGCCGACTATAGCTGGGAGTGCTAGTAAAGCCATTTCTTCCACAGACCCGGCCCAAGCTCAATCGGGTGATGGCTGTATACAGTCAGGGATCATAAAGGCTATCAGAAGAAAGTGATAATGGCTAAGCAAAAAAAGATCGCGGTGGACATTAGCAGTGTACGATCTACACTACCAAGTACGCTGGTTCTATAGCGATAATAGACAACGTAGATGTGAGTCGAATCTAGAACTTAAGTGGCCTAATGTGATAATGGTGCATGATTAATAAAGACAACGATAAACAAAAATACGCATCCTTTTATAAGATCAGTAATGTGTGTTCTATAACATTTCAGCCCTTTAGGGTCCATTGGAGGGCTTCGCGATAGTTTACACCACACCGAGTCTAAAAACACGAGAATACAAGGGGCATGCATATAGGGGCGCGCCCGAACACCATCTGGCACCTCCTGCCACGCCCCTAATAAAGAAAAAAAGAAGAAGAAAAAGACGTAATATAGGTTGCTGTTGGAGGATTCCCATCCATGCATAAGAGCGTGTGAAAGGTGGCGAATACATGATGCGCAACAGGTGGCGATTCGCTTCCTGGCTTCGACAGCCAAGAAGTGAGCTTTCTGGTGTTAGTTGGAGGAACATGATTTACAGCCAAATGGTGACTCTCTTGCGATCGAAGATCATGCATACTTAAAAAAGAAAATAAATAAGCGTTCACCCAGGCACCCATGAACACGCCTTGCTTGTTTTTATTGCACGTAATTATAGTCCCAAGCATGGGACAAAGTATACCACTGGGTGTGTCCTATTTGCGGTTCTCGCTTCCGCTTTTTGTAATCGTGGCCGCCTTTAAAACGTTATTACGTATTTTCTTTTTTTTTTCTTTTTTTTATTTCCAAGCCTGCACCTCTCATGCGCTTCCCTAGAGTTCCCAAGTAGCTTTTCTTCAGTTAACTATCTAATCAACTTCCCACCTTCTTCACCTCCCGGTGAAGCTTGAGTGGCATCGCTTGCTACATGTATTACATAAGAAAATTAGATTATCATATGGACAACACACTCTCTTTAGGCCACGGCTCCTTACATGTGCGGGAGAAAACTATACAATATACACAGATAATATTTTCATCAGAGGGAGCACCTAATAACGCATAATAATGACACGATGAACAGTGTTCTGCGTATATCATATATACTTTCTCCGTCTTAACGTAAAAGCGCACTCTTGCAACGCCACTTTCCGCTATGGAATGCTCTTACACGGGAAGTCATTTGCGTGGTCTAGCTCAGAGTTTACGGCGGACCCTAATTGCTCGACGGCCTGCCACCGCCGGATTATAAGAACAATCACCTTCCTGCTCCTCCAAACCGCTCTTCCGAAGCCTCTTCGGCATCCCCTTTTAATCCCTCATCTTCGTGGGGCAAGCGGCAGTTCCTTCATAGCACTTCGGTCCATCCCATCGGCGCTATATAGCCCAAATTGGCAAACCGCCTTCGGTTGGTTGCCTGTACAAGGCCTTGATAGTGCCCGGTGGCAGACAAGACGTCGCTCCGACCGCCCGCCCTCCCGATCCCTTAGCTTCTACACTTGAGGCGCCACAGTGCCTGGTTGCGAGACGCTCGGAATGGACGGGAAATAAAATAAAGAAAAACATAGTGAGCCAGTGTGGGGGAGGAGGTGGGCAGGAAGGTGTAGATGTGAGCAAAGGGAGGGGGGTAGTCGTGGCACGGGAGAAGACAGCCGCATCGCGCCGACGTCATCATCAAAATCGTGATCGAAGCGCAGTGCTTGGCTGGCGAGGCTCGCGATGGCTTCGTGCGTAGCGGGGCCTCTCCCGAACGGACGCGTGATCGATATTACATGCCGACGGTCTGCGCGCGCGCGCAAGCAGCGCGTATGCGCGGCAGCCAGATGGAAAGTGGTTCGCACGACGACATTCCAGGGTGAGTGGTCGGTCGCCTGATAAAGTACGAGCGCGTGAGAAGAAGGCATGCGCGGGACTGTAGCAGCGACGGGGCTCTGGGTTTCCAGGAAGGGCGACTCCGCATCTCGAAGAGGGGAGGCGGAGCGATTGGAAACGTGCGCTTTCCCGCTGGGCCGAACGCGCGGACATGTCGGGCGACCGCGCGAAAGAAGGGGGCGGAGGCGCTCGAACGCAGTTTTCTCTTGATCCCTGACATACAATTAGTAGTTTCTTATCTGTCTCCTTCGGCGTGGCACGGAGGAGGATTGGAAAGAGGCAGGCCACATAAATGAGAAGCGCGGGCAACCAGGCCGCCCGACTCTGCGGTGTACAGCGGTGCGCGGTAGCTGGTCGATCAAAATGTTTTTCTTTCTTATCGCTTCAGAGCTCCTCATGCGCCCTTTCCTGGCTGTTCATAGAGCTAGCTAGCTATAGCGGCAGCGCGACGCACTCGCTGTGGACACTGACCGTGAGTGAGCATGGCCTTTTTAACCGCTAGTGTCAGCCGCGATGACCGGGAACGAACGCGGCACGTTGGTCCACGCCTCCGCTGATGCCGGTGCTCCGCCCGATACACGGCTGCGAACCTACGGCGACCGCACTTGATCGACGCTTCGAAGGGTCCTTCTTTTATTTTTCCGCGGTTTGGCGAGTGCTGCCGGGCGCCCAACGATCGTTTCGGTGATCAAGAAACTAAATAACAGGAACGGTTGAAAGTGTTTGCTCTACTGTGATTATTGTTAACCTCCTAGTAATTTATTGGCTGCGTTACGCTTGAAGCTCTGACACCGTATAGACGTGGAAGGGGTAATAGTATACTGAGACCGGGCTGTCTGCACTCAGTCGGCAGCATCGCGACAGCAGATCGAGGAGGTCGTGAAAAGCCTTCCCGCTGCTTGCATGGTCATAGGGTGTTTACGCGTGCCAAAAGAGCTACATCAAAAGAAAATAGTAAAGAAAGTGTGGATCAGCTAACATACCCAGCTGACGTGTTATAAGATATCGAAGCTGTCATTCAGTGAAAGCTGCCGAGCATTCATTCGATATTTATTTCCGTCCCTTGTCAGGGGAAGCTCAAACAAGATGATTGACATAGGCGCACATGTGACTATACTTATTAACTTGTTATCTCTTAGTAAACACCACAAAGGGGTCTTTACAATAAGGGCTATCATGCGCTGTTTGTGGTACTAAGTTCAAAACCTGATATTCGGTATAGCTCTAATGGCTGTTATTATCCCTCGACGTTGCCTATAGGTTCCCACTGTGTCCCCAACGTAAATGATCCAGCTCCCCAACAGGCGTGCGTGCACATTGAGTATATCTACGTGCGGCACTATTAGATACAATCAACTTGTTCTTCTTATGAGCGCTGAAATTGTTAAACGGAGCTATGAAGCACGCTCACATAAACTTTTCCAACCAAAATTAAGAACATATCCTAGGGAATCTACGTATGCCCTTCTTATTCTTGTTGCTTGTTAGATTACCATAATGGGGGGAAACGGAACCCACGAAATAATTGTTCAGATTGGCACTCGGTGTTCATACACTATGCATACAACGTACACCTCGCAATTGCAAAGCTACATATAGAAAGACGCTATAACTAAGGGATTCGTTGGTAGGTTTATTTGATGCGTCCTTCCAACAAAATGCACGAGCAAATCGGCACTAATATATATTGCTTTGAGCGCATATTCTTTGCTTGTCGTTTATTCACACTTAAATAATAAATTTTACAATAAAAGAGTATAACTTTGTCCAAACAGTGTTATCAAAGTGAGGAAAGCTTGAGAACATACCTGGGAAGACATAAGTGACCTCCATGGTCTAGTTTCTCGTATCTGAAACCCCTAGCATATTTTTCATGTGTATACCAGCTGCGCTTGAAATTGATACTTGCACTATATCATACATGACGTGAGCGTTTTACGTGTAGAAACATGTCGGCGCCAGGCCTGGCAAAATTTGGAAAGCAAACAATGGGAAATAGACTATCTGAATTTTGGGGCCGTTATTACACAGTACATTGATTATAATACATCGACTGTTATTAGATGAGCTAAACAAGTTTGCTGTTATGAATTTTTCACACCCTTCACTCTAGTTTCCCTACTTTTTCACTACAAAATATTTTTCTATATCAGTCGCAATAAGGTGAATTTATGTGCTAAGTGTTTTTAAGTGAATAACATTGTGCTTGTTTCATTTCAAAATAAGGGGGGGGGGGGGTTCCTAAGCAGGACATGCTCAGTTTGTTGTAAAAGGGTAAATATATTACGGCTACATCTGTGAAGCCACTTCGAAGAGCGAGAGAGAAAGGTATACTAGAGAGAAACAGGCAGGTTAACCAGAGGAAATCTCCGGTTAGACACAACGTACATGTGAAAGGGAAAGTGGGTGGGAAAGACTGACAGAGGACAAGACAGTTTGTCACAATAGTATGAAGGCACGACAGCAGCACCGCCTAGAAGCAAGGCATTGCTCATAAAAACCTTTATTCTGATCTACTATAAACGGAACTTCAACGCTGCGGCCCTTTTGTTTGTACTTTGTGTTCGCAGGAGAAGCCACACAAGTGCACGCTGTGTTCCAAGTCCTTCCCGACTCCCGGAGACCTGAAGAGTCACATGTACGTTCACAGTGGTTCGTGGCCTTTCAAGTGCCACATTTGCAACCGGGGCTTCAGCAAGCAGACAAACCTCAAGAACCATCTGTTCCTACACACCGGTAAGAGCATGTGATGTACACTATTCTCGTTAAAAAGCTGCGGCGGGCAATTTTAATCGCCATCGCATGAAGCATGCATGTCAATGTCGCTAAGGTCTAAACTATGAAGTCCAATTCCAAAATTTGCTACCCTTCAGCGCTAGTTCAAAAACCAATCGTCGTTCAACCGAAAGTCCGAAGTTTACTATAAAGTTGAAAGCAACCACCTATTCTTATTCGGGCCCAGCGTGCCCTATTGCGTTACGACAATCACCGTACGATCACTACGCAAACTTAACATCAAGATACATAAATAAAATGTAAACTGTGGTGACATTATGTTAGGGGTCTGTACTTAAGAAAAACAGTAAGTTGTATGCCTCAGCTTTCGTCCTATTATTGTTCTTCCTTCGCTTATTTCCTTTTTAAGTGTGTATGAGTTATATAACGATACAGTTTTAACACGCCGACAACATCGAAGTCAAAACGAGCATGGTGCCGAACGCTTAAGGGAGTGAATTCGTGATTATCAGTGCAACGTAATAGCTATGCCCCGCCGCTGCATGCAAGACGTGCGAGATATCGAAGTAAATGTTGACGCTACAGGAAACACGGAACGTTCACAGTGCGAACATGTGTACCACTATCACCGAATGTTCCTTATATATAGCTTTGTCGTGAAATAGGTGTAATAAATCCTCGTAGGAAATGCAAAACTACACACGAGCGGCTAGAAAGACACGAAAAAAAAAAGGTACGGAAATTCGCCTAAAACTTGTGACCAGTAACCGAAAAGATCTCATCTGAGACGACTGTATGTTTTGCCGCACTCACGAAGAATAGGTCGTGTAAGACTTATTGAAGTTGTGAAGACGGACCTCACTATAGTGAAAAAATCTGTCATCATTGGCCGAGCCCGTCCTCAGCCCAGAAGGCTTTGAAAGCTCTGCTACGCTTTTTGCGGACAACTGGCCTCAGAAACAGACTTCTGTGTCTTATGCTCTTTGATGTTGACTTTCCTCTGTCGCTATTTTTTCGGTAATTTCTCTCTCTCTCTCTATTCGCAACTTTTTTTTATCATCTTTTCCCTCACTCCTTTCCACACCAGGGTAGCAAGCCGGTCTAAGAACTGGCTAACCTCCCTGTCCTTCCGCTCAAACTTTCCTCCTCCTCTGCCCTCCACATGTACAAGCAGTGCGTAAGACACGCTTGTTTTTCACAGTTTCTTTTTTTTAATTCATGGTTGCTTTCACTTAAATGAGTGCTAGGCACTCAGTCTCCGAAAGGCAGCGATTTCCTCTAATGCTCACACTCCGATAGAACGCTTCTGCTTTCGGCTCCGAGCATTGTTATCAAGTTTTTCGCTTTCTACGGGAGACGCTGCTCCCTGCCCCAAGGCGACGGACGCGGAGTCATCCACTGGTCCGCCCAGCCAGAGGTCTGCTATGGCGAGCTCCTCGGTAAATCAGCGCGCCTGGCCCAGAACCAGTGAGGCCAACGGTGATAGTCACTGCATCATGGCTGTGGACGTGGAGCCTTCTGCGGCTATGTCCGACCATAGACCACCTTTGGCAAGCTCGTCGCGGAAACGAAGCACCTGTTCGAGCACCAGCGAGGACACGGAACTGTACTCGGCCACTGGCGACGACTCGTCGGATGACGACTTCGAGACCGTGAGAAGCAGGAAGGCCAAAAGAAGAAGTATCAAGTCGTCTTCACCAGCAGGGACATTAACGTCTCAGTCAAAGAAGAATGCTGGCCGCACACCATCCTCTTCATGCCCGAGGACTCCACCATCAGCCTTCGAGCAGTAAACAGGCAAGCTCTCTCTATGTACTTTGAGGGGGTAGCACCAAACGACATTAAGGATATCCGGGTGAACACGCGGAAGAATATTCTAGCTGTGGACACAATGACTGCCAGCGCCATAGACAAGCTTCGCAGAGTATCAGATTTGGGAGGCATCAAAGTACGACCGGTTATTCCAATGGACGGTGCCTGCACGGCGGGAGTAATCTACGACATTGATTTGGCCATAACAAACTCGGACCTCCCAACTCTCATAAAACCAGCGAACGAAGGAGTTCTCATCGCGAATGTACTTCGCCTCGGAAACACCCGATGTGTAAAGATAATGTTCAAAGGAGATTCCATTCCGTCGCATGTCAAAGTGGGACACTTCCGACATCCTGTTCGACCATTTGTCCCTAAACCACTCCAGTGCCATAACTGCATGAAAATTGGTCACATCAAGAGTGTATGTACAAACACCACAGTATGCCCCCGATGCGCTGAGCCGCACACTGCAGACGCATGTCGGGCAACAAGTCTGAAGTGCAGAAACTGTGATGGTCCGCATGATGCTGCATCCAAGGAATGCCCTCGGATTAAGAAGGAAATCGCCATTATCAAACAAATGGTTAGGGACAATTCAACCCACAGAGAGGCTGCTGAAAGGGTACGGCGGCGACGTAGTCGCCGACGGAGGCGTGTAGGACAGAGTGTTGCGCATAACCCATTTCCTCCGAGCACGAGTGAAGTAGTAAGCACGAAGCGAAAAGAAGTGGAGAAGCTCACAGCTGCGGATGAGTGGCCTACGCTTCCGCGTACACAGCCTGCAAAGGAGCCTCCTGCGAGGCCTCGCCGCCCTACACCTTCCACCGAGTCTACTTCCGTTGAGGATGTGTCAAGGGTCGATCGACAGATCATCCCGATGTTACGATCCCTCGTCGCTGTCATGGCAGACATACTAAGAAGCCTGGGAACTCCAACCGCTCGAAGCGGGTTACAGGTGTTGGACGCGCTGAGCCCAGTCCTCGCCTCCCTCGCGTAGAGTCATGGCAGGAGATCAACAATCGTTCCGCAAAGACGTCAGAGAAGCATCAGTCATCCAGTGGAACGCAAGAGGACTTAGATCACGGATTTCCGATTTTCGTCAGTACGTGTCTTCTAACCTTTTCCCAATCATCGTAATATGTGAACCGAAATTATCAAACCCGATCAGGCTATCTGGCTACGAATCAATCCCGTCCAAAACCCGAAACGAAAGCAGCAAGGTCATTGTGTATATTCGTCGGGAGCTTACCTACATCATTCAACCTGTGTCGCCTCATGATGAGAACCAATATGTTGCCTGACTGTGAAGCAGAAAACCCTCACCTTCACATTAATAGGTGTCTACTTATCTCCCTCAGCCCGTTTTGATTGCCAAAGACTGGATGACATTCTTTCGAGCGTCCGGATCCGTGGATAATTATAGGGGACTTCAACGCCCACCACCCATCTGGGGAAGTTCAAAAGTCAATACCACGGGCCGGAGGCTGGCTTCATTTGTATCGACTCATGAACTGTCTCTACCTAATGATGGGAGCCCTACATTTCTGCGAGGATCAACGTACAGCAGCTGTTTGGACTTGACGTTCGTGTCACGTCGCTTCGCTACAAGCGTTAAGTGGTTTTTAGACATCGAGACACATGGTAGCGATCACATCCCCAGTTATCTCACCATCGAAGGCTTTGCTAGCGACCACCCGCCGAAAACCGTACGGAGGATCGATCTTTCAGCATTCACAACCAACATTGAACACGCTTGTGAAAAAGGCTTAACCTCTGGCATTGAGCAAGCGATCAAACAAGCAGCGCAGAGTGCGATGCGCACGCTGGCATATTCTTCAAGGCCCTCAGAAACGGACATGGAGTTAGAGCGACTCCGTGCGACTCGTCGGCGTGCGGAGCGTAGATATCGACGCACAAAATCCATTCAAGATCTACGGATGGCCAGGCGCATGCAAAAGAAGATCCAGCGTCGTATAGACAAACTGGAGTTTCAACGGTGGGCGAAATTTTGCGCGAGTCTAGACCCTCGCAAACCGCTTTCTCAAATATGGCGAACCGTGCGAGGCCTACGCACATTTCCCCAACAACGTTTTCCGTTTAAAGCCTTGGCCCTTTTCCAAAATAGAAGGGATATCGAGGTAGCGGAAGATTTTTGTAGGAAGATTGCGGGCCCACCAAATTGCACAGAAGCCCTTACTGCTGATTACACGCCACATTCACTTGACCCGCACCTGGACCTGCCTTTTTCAATGGAAGAACTGAATGTGGCTCTTGCTTCATGCAATAGATCGTCATCGCCTGGGCCGGATGGCATATCATACCGCCTATTATGCAATCTCGGTGATCGAGCACGAAATGCTTTGCTGGAAGTATTCAATGAGTCTTGGAGAGATGGAACGGTCCCCAGAGAGTGGAAAACAAGCCGGTTGGTTGCACTTCTCAAACCTGGAAAATCGCCTCTAGAGCTGACATCATACCGCCCAATAGCGCTGGCTAGTTGCGTAGGGAAGCTGATGGAGCGAATGATCCTTGCCAGACTCGAGTGGTTCCTAGAACGCCATAGAATATATCCAGACGCCATGGCCGGTTTTCGTCGTCTTCGGAGCTCCATTGACAATGTCATTGACCTGGTGACCTACGTACAACACCAGAAAATGAGCAGACGGTTATCTGTCGCACTATTTTTAGATGTCAAAGGAGCATATGACAATGTTTCTCACGAAGCCATACTTGACGCCCTCGAGTCAGTTGGTTTGGGTGGGCGAGTGTACCGCTGGATCCAATGCTACCTACATATGAGATCATTGTTTATGCAAACTGATGATGGGCCGACTTCTGAACATTATACACACCGTGGTGTTCCTCAAGGTGGTGTATTGAGCCCCACACTGTTCAACCTGGTTCTGATCGGTCTCGTTGAACGCATACCAGATTCCGTGCAGATATCTCTCTATGCAGATGATATTTGTGCCTGGACATCAGGTGTAACACGTCCTCAGGTACGTGCGAGACTCCAGAAAGCAGCGAATTCAATATCGGCGTACCTTAGAGAACAAGGCCTCGAGATTTCTCCTGAGAAATCGGCGCTGGTCGCGTTCACGCGGAAGGCAATGACGTCATATCCCATCGCCATCAATGGACACAGTGTCTGCTACGCCAGGACCCACAGGTTTTTGGGGGTCACG